TTTGCTTGCTTTTTTATGTATGACCAAACAATGAAGACTTGGAGCCAATGATCTGCAGAATAGTTGACATTGATTGTCTCAAAGGCCAGTGAGCACATATGTTCTGGAGGGGTGTTTGCTTTCCTGAAGTGGTCAAGCAGTTGGGTGCAACACACTACATCAGGGTCTGCTAATGGATTCATGGGGGGAGAGAGGCTATTTGGTTTGTCGTCGATTTGTAATGCTTTCTTCAGTTCTATGGCTTTCTGTATTAGACCGGATTGCGTTTTCACATGTCTTGGTCTATTCTCATAGGTGCTGAAGAATTTATCCATAGGAATGCTCAGTAGCTTCTCATTCTGGATTAAGGCCTTCTCTTTGATAAGGGAACATATTGAGGAGTTCCCTTTAACCAGGGGCATTGCATCAATGGGTGTCGATTTTATCCCTCCAATAATTAGTCGCAGTGCTTGGTTGTGTTTGAGAAGTTTGAGAATCACCTCAGGGGCTCTGCAATGAGCGGCTCGCAACAATACAGCATTAGTGGTTGAGCAAACATCTTGTAAGTGGTATTTAGGTTTGAGCGTGCACAACTCCATATGCTATCGGTGGGGCGTCTCAGTACGTTCAGTCTATTGGAGACTCGTTCTGATACTTTAGCAATGTGACTTTTCCATGTTAGCTTTATGGCAAATGTCATTCCGAGATAAGTGAACGCATTGGTTTTTTAGGGAAGTATCTGTGTTCTTTAAATGCGGGTTTATGTTGTGGCGGACCAATAAAATTGTTTGGAATGCGGTTTTCGCGGTGTTGATAACTTTTCCATTGTTGTCGTACCAGTGTGTAGAGCTAGATTTTGCGACAAAGACACTTTTAACGTATTCAATTTATTTACTTTCTTTTACATAATATTAAAATTGCAATCGGCATTTCATCAATTAGTTTGAAGTTGTATTCCTGAATTCCCTAGCACATAACATTTATCTGTATCCGTAATGGCGATCTCTTCAAAAATTTCTCTTTTTGGGGTTGAAAAGGTCTTTTAATGGAAGAAAGATAATTTAATCTGTCGAATTGCGTATTTTTCGAGGACCGCATAAGACTTGTGTAGTTAACGTTTGTTGAGTGCACTTCGTTATCGATCGTTAGGAAGCAAATTTCGGACAAAATTTCTTCAGTGCGTTTTCTAATTTAGCTTAGGTATTGTCGAAACTACTGTAGAAAATGCATTTCACCTTTACTTAATTAATGTGAAAATGAAGATGTATCTAAGGCTTACCGCAATATCAGTTATTCATTCAGTTTACGCTAAGCCCTTATATTAAATAATTGCATCAAGACACCGAATTTTGGGGATTCTACGCAATATTAAGGGCATTTCTAAAACCATCACTTATACCAAAGCAATCATAATCATCAAGGTGCCATAGTTACCGCGTTTAGCTCTACCCCTACCGTAGTAACTGCGCGCCCGCAAACAACTTTTATGACTGAGGGCTTGGCGGTACAAAACCGTCATGAAATCCGATACTTTATCGCTCGTTGCATCAAAATTTGAATTAGGCTAAGGAAATTGTGATTAATGAAAATCGTTCAACTTTCCGGTCAACCCTGAGAGCTTAAAAACTCCAACTTTGGTTAGATAGAAGGTCGTCAAGGCAATAAAGGTAGTAAGTTTACAACATGACGTTTATAAATCACTTGCTTCAGTCACTTTTTTAGTTTCTTTTAACGCAATTTGTCTGACTGAGAAAGTTTAGAGACTACATTTTCTGACGACAGACAACCTCATAAAAATTTATTGTCGTTGGGTTAATCAATATGAGAATTTTAGGTCAAATTGATGTCATGACGCACATTTCTTTCCCACAGAGATAAATTTCTCCAATATCTGAGTCATAGTGACCGACATTTAGGAGAGCAAACGTTCCAAAAACCAGAATATGCACAAGTTGTAACCCAAAACGCTTGATTAAGGACATTAATTTAAAAGATCTGCAAGTAAAACTCAAATTTCAACAATTGCACTGGGAAAATTGATTTCCTACTACCAAATAGAGATTTCTATTAGGTATTTTAATATCTAAACAAATCAGCTAATTTCACCACAAGGCATATTGTGGAATCTTAAAATCAGTGAATCGAATTTAGCAGAAGTGGGTGTGCGATAGACTAATCTCCACGTTGTACACCTTGGACAACGTATACTCATACGGCAAAAAGCCTGTGAACCACTCTTCTGTTCCCTCTTTCGAATTTCTCAACTTGATGTTCTCTCCTCTGTGAAGCCCGAAGTCAGCGAAAGGGGTAATGATAACTATCTAAACGCCTACCATTTGAAATAAATATTTAGCAACAGTTAAGCAGTATGTAAGGCTTTAACATTGTATTAACTTATTCCTTTACTTAATCTAAGTTTTCTTGCCAAAACTATTCTGTAAAATAAGAGAGTTAATCAGTGGTTTTGAAAAAAAATTAGGTCAAAACAGCCTAGTGGCACTATATTCGCTGAAACCCAGAATATGGACATTTTAGAATGCGAACGGACACTGATTTAGTGTCTTTCTCACATCAACCCTACTAGATTTTCTCTAGACTTGGGTTTGCAGATCGATATTTAAGACTGCAAATAAGTAAAAATCTGTTCATTCAAATTAGCTGGTAGTTCAAGCTGAAAACTGCGCGAAATTATAATAGGTTCGTGTGGCAGAAATTATGGCTTTTTTTGGCTATTCACAGTTCAATAACCATGATAAGACGTCCTGAAAAACATTTTCGCGATATTCTTATTTTCATGTTTATAAAGATGATCAGCATAAGGCACAATGAAAATATATGGCATAAAGTGCACTTGCCACTATACAGACATTTTAGGCCAATCAGGACGACCTAATTACTAATTCCACATTTCTCCAATAAGTATGTCAGGAAAATCACTGGATGAGTCATGCAGCGGGATTTCTCTTACTTCACGAACAATCCATTGATCAACATTAAATTTATAACAAAAATGAACCAAGAACAGCGACAGGAGGTGCGACTTGCTACACTTGAATACCAAAAGCACTGATTTGCCCACATCGTAACACAGGATCGCCGAAACCAGTTGGGCCAGAACTAGACCAGCTAGACCCTTGAATGTTTGCAGTTTCCATACACCTAACTAGTAAATTGAATTTTTGAGCACTTAACTATTGACTCGTACAACTTAAACCCAAGATTTAGGCAAAAAATGAATACTTCGCGAATTTGCTAGCGTTACAAAAAGCCACAACCCAAACATCCCCAACAGCAAGCACATGAACAATCGTTTATGAAAGGGCCCTAAATAGGGCCGTGGCATCGTTGGCTTCTAGCGGCCTTAGAGACCGCTCTTTACCATGGTTCAGGAAACTTAAGCTCTCTCACCACGGATGCGGCGAGCGAGCTGAATATCCTTCGGCATGATAGTCACACGCTTAGCGTGAATTGCGCACAAGTTGGTGTCTTCAAAGAGACCAACCAGGTAGGCTTCTGAGGCTTCTTGCAATGCAGACACGGCAGTGCTCTGAAAACGCAGATCAGTCTTGAAGTCCTGGGCGATCTCACGTACAAGACGCTGGAAGGGCATTTTGCGGATGAGAAGCTCAGTGCTCTTTTGGTAGCGACGGATTTCACGGAGAGCCACGGTACCGGGCCTGTAGCGATGCGGCTTCTTAACGCCACCAGTAGCGGGAGCGCTCTTACGGGCGGCCTTTGTGGCCAGCTGCTTGCGAGGAGCCTTGCCACCCGTGCTTTTACGTGCGGTTTGCTTAGTACGAGCCATAACAAGTAGAAACGATACGCCAACTCTGCCGGACGTAGTTTCTAATTTCTTTTTTATAGTTTTTCGTCAAGGTTAGACTAGATCCTGAAAATATGATTGGACAATATGTTCGTGTGTTTCGTATTGGGGGCATCATAACCAATCAACGACGAGATTTTAAAAAATTAAATATTGCGCACTATTAGAATTTTCAGCCACCAATTCTCTTTAAGATTGTTAAATTTACCTATTTCCGTTTTAAAAATTGTCTTCCTAAATATTAATAGGGGTCTCAATTTATTCATTACTATAAAGATCCGATTTGATGACGATCTTTTTGCGCTCATCCGGCTTAATTATTGACTGTGCTCTGTTTCTTATGAGTTATTTCTGTCTTTTATCATTATACAAGCTCTGTGGGGAAATTACACCCATAGTTTACCCCTATCTTGAAATAGAGTCCTGACTCTCTTATGAAATGATAGCAATGACCTTGAAATTAATGTTTAACATAATTCCCTATACTGGTTTGCTTTTGTTGGAGTGACAAGGAAGCAATCGTTAAGGGAATATATTAGAACGAAATGGAGACTGACAATCGGTTTAAAATCAATTTATTGAGTAGTTCCTTTTGAATTATGAGAGTTCGATTGCTAAAGAAAAAGATTTTGAGTTTATTTTAAGGAACTTTAGTAATCAAAGTACGTAAAAAGCATTCCAAGAAATCTAATTAAGCTTCATAAAATCACGTTTAGGTAACAAGAAGAGGGTCACCTCGTAAATGCGTCGCTGCTAAAAACTCAATGAAAGTGGCAGTTGTTCAAGTGGCTATTAGCAAGGAATTGGGAAAGAGAAAAAAAACAACCGATTTATAGTGGATATTATTTGAATACTAGTTTCCTTTCTTGCAAAAAAGAAACCCATTCCCATTTTTTACACTTAACAGCCTTAAGAAAGAAAAGATAGGGAATACTATTGACTTGAGTACTGTCTTCACTTTCCATGACCACAAAGCTTCATTCTTCGGAAGCAACTTTTAATTGCTTTTAATTGGCTTCTGAATAATACTTCTAGCCCTGAAAATACTCCAAGATTTACAACCAAAGGAAAAGTTGCATGTCACGTTGAGGTAGTGCATAAAGGAAGCACGCATTTCCACAAGCTTAGCTGGTGGTGATTAGATGACGCTATGATGACGAAAAATACGGACCAATCGAAAGTTTGCATGGGAGCGGACGCACACGAGTCTAACTGCAAACAGGCGCTTAAAGCGTCACTAAGCCATCGGTGAATGAAATAAATAACTAGAGCAAAGGTAATAAGAAAGAAGTGTTATTTGTAGTACTCATGACAATAATATCCCTTACTTTGTTTTTTTAATTGTATGGTGCATTTCTAAGAGATGGCAATTTCATTCTTGGGGGGTATATGCTCAAATAGCACAAGTTTCTACCCATGGTGGTATGATTAACTAAATCATTCGGGACAGGCAATAATTACTGAAATTCCCTGTGTGATCTGCGTAGGTAAGAATCGACTGACAAAATCAATAACTGGAAGCTGATTGTGAGCCTTTTTTTGACACATAAAGAGGCATGCACAGAGATCATGAACGAGCAGTACTAAACTGCTCAGTGAAGGCAATCTATTAGCAGGGGCTTCCTTGGCCTGCACACTAAGTTGAAGCAACTGTGGTTTTGAATTTTTTAATAGCTAGGTGAGTCAGCGAATGTGTCGGAGTAGAGTGCGAAAGGCGTTAGTGGTAGACATATGGGGTGTTAACCTAAGTGCTATATAAATTTATTTATTTCAAACGGAAGGTGTTTTGATAGTTACCATTTGTTCTTTAGCTGACTTCGGGCTTCACAGAGAGGAAGAGGAAGAACATAGTGACAAAAATTCGAGAGGGGGTGAACAAAATAATGATTTCCAGATGTAAAAGAGACAGACAGACAGGCACAAAGGCAGAGAAAAGGTAAGATGGGTACGGTGATAGTTGTCGAATATGACATACAGTGGGGTTTGAAGTCAGAAGTCAACTGCCAGTTAATAGACATTTTTGCCGCATGAGTATACGTTGCTCAGGGTTCCCCACGTGCTTTAGAAATAAAGTGGTCTAAAGCATTTGTATGGGCAAAGTTCAACAAAGTTCGGATCTTACTTGCTATCAAATGTTTCTACCCTTCTCTCGAGATATCGGTTTCAAGAGTGTCTATCTTCTCAACTTTTAATTGCTTTTAACCCTATTTAGTAAATTAAGCTCCCTTAAGCTTTACCAGTTTGTAAAAAGCTCCTATCATTTGTGCTACTAAGACTTGCACACGCCTTTAGAGTCATAGATCTAACCCAGTAACCAACCAATAATCAAACAAGGGGTAAAGCTTCTCAAAGTTACACATCTCTCTATTTTACTAATTTTTAAGAAGTAAAAGGCTTAAAACTTGTTTGAAAAAAGCGCGTTCTTGCGCAAGTGGATTGCAACATTAAAGTGCCAAGTAATATTTATAAGATAAGCCCAATTTTGTCACAAGAATTGCTGCTAAATCATGGAGTCTCGATCACTTTTATGATCTAATTCTACTCATGATCTAGAAAAAATCTGATTACGTTTTTCTTAAACTTATGTCTAAATGAATTAAAAACAAATTAAAAATTCAAATTTATGATGAGACTAAAATTATGAAGATTCAATAAGTTGATAATAGGAGCAACCACCTTCAAACTAGTGGGTTAAAATAAAGCAATTTGTAAAAAAATAATCTCGCGATTTAAATTCACTAAAGACGATGAAAATTTTGCCTTTAAAATCGATCCGATCGATTGCACTGCAAAGGATAAGGTTGATCGATTCTCTCACTCCCACCTCCCCCCTAAGAAATTCACCTTTTTTCTAAGCTCTAATACCTGCAGGATAACTACAAAAATTGTATTAAAAACACAGTTGTTTTTGTCCTAGTAGCTAGCCTTCTTTATGGCCGAAATGTCTTTTGTTTAATGCTAATGAAATAATACTCCCAGTTTATAAAGGGTTATAATTATTGGGGAAAAATCACAGAGCATGCTTAATAAGAGATTAGCTTTGACATGTTCCCCTTTAGAAACCATTTTAACTACCAGTTAACATGCGATTATTAACCTACTTCATTTCAGCATTATTTTAAAACCGACTCTTCTATAAACTCAGTTTTTTTCATGTTTCAAGCCATAATGTTGTCGTGCAGCTACTTGGAACAATTTGGAACTTCTTCATTCAGACGAATTATATCAAAGGCATTTAAGTAATTTGCTTTCTAAAATCGGATAACATTCTACAATCTGGATTATGGCAACTTTTATAACTAATAGATGTTAGGGCTTAGATGATATGGTTGTACTTTATAACTATCAAATCAACCTAATTGCCTTGTCACTTTGGTAAAATTGTGACCACTTTGAGCCTGCAAATATGGCCGTTTATTGTTCATTTGAGTTGTGGGATTTCCTCCTGCTACGTAGACATAAATCTAGTAATGTCACTGATAATTAACTACCCACTTTGTCAGAATTCACTCATATTGACGGTTTTATACCCTCCAGTTAGGGGTGTGCGATAGACTTACCGCGTGGTGCACCCTGGGCAACGTATACTCATACGACACAAAAGTCTTAATCGGCAGTTGACTTCCGACGTCAAAACACCATCACCTCACTGTATGTCATATTCGACTACTTTCACAGTACTCGCCTCACCTTTTTCACTCTACCTTTGTGTCTGTCTCTTTTACATCTTTGAAATACTCTTCTGTTCCCCCCCTCCCCCTCTCGACTTTTTTTCACTTTGATATACCTTCCCCTCTGTGAAGCCTGAAATCAACTAAAGGGCTTATGATAACTATCAAAATGCCTGCCATTTGATATAAATAAATACCCTCCAGTTATGTATGCTGGTGATTTGGAAATGAGCGTTTCTTGGAGTC